GACAGTGACTGCAAAGGGGTATGTGGGGGGGACTTGGTGAAGTGGGGAGCCTAGTAAACATAATGTAATTGTAGATGAATGATACCAAAAAAAAAAAAAACAGGGCTTCCTTACAACCAGTGGACAGAAGAGTAAAAGGGCTTGAGCTTGGTCATGGAGAAGTCAACTCAGAATGTGGGTTCAAGCCAAAAACTGGTGGCAGCTGGACCTCAGCCCACTCAAGGTGGCCTCAAAGAAAGCAGCGGGAAGAAAGCTCCCAGTAGCAGAGTCTTTGGATGTGCACCTGGTCATCTACTTTGTTTTGAAAGAGAAGTGGCCTAAGATTAGAATATACTTGGGCTCATGAGTAGTAGTGGCAAATGGTTTGCCAACTGCCTAAATGGAGAAAGAGTGGAAAATTAGAAACAAGGAGGTCTGGGAAAGAAGTATGTGGATGGACATATGGGAATGAGCAGAAATGTAAAGATTTTTGTATCACATGTTCATGTCCACCAGAGAGCATCTACCACGGAAGAGGCACCAAACAACTGCATTGAAAATGATCCAACCAGTTGACATCAACCAGCCTCTATAATCAGCCACTCAGTGTTGGCAAAAAGGGGCACAGTAACACAGAACCCAAAGTGCAGTGACGGAGCTGAGTATGCACAGGCTTCCACATCCCAAGGGGGTTCAAGCTACTGCCGCTGCTGGATGCCAAACCTGCTAGCAGTAGAGACCAGCCCTGGTCGGGTGTCCCTAGAGACCAACAAGCCACTTGCTGGTAAACTAACATTGGATCCCTTCTACCAAAGAAGGGACAGTGATTCATTTTGACAGGGATAGATACATATTATGGATATGGATTGTCTTTTCTGCTTCAGCCTTCAGCCAACACCACTCTTCAAGAGCTTAGAGATGGACAGCTCTACCAACACAGAAGTCCATGCAACATCACATCCAGAAAGGAGATCCACTTTCTAGCAAAGGAGGAGAGAATGAGCATCTGGCCTTGGGATCCACTGGCCATATTACAAACTGCCCGACCTAGATGTTGCTAGCCTGAAAGAGTAATGGAAGGCAAAAATGAAGTACCAGCTTGGATGTAGTATCTTGTGAGGATGCATCCTCTGGGATGCAGCGCACACTTTAAGTAAATGACCTTCACATGGCACTGGGTTCTCATTTGGAAGACTGCGTGGGTCTAGGATCCAAAGGGCGGAAGCAGGAGTGGCCCTACTTACCATCGCTCCCAATAACCCCTTGGAGGATTTGTTCTTCCTATCCCTGCACCTCTGGGCCCTGCAAGTTTACAGGATTCCAAAGAGGAGCCCTTCTGCCAGGGAAGACAGCTGTACTGCCAACTGGGCACTTCAGACTCTTGCCAAAAGACCAACAGACACAATGAGGAATCATCAGGAATGAAGAGCAATTACCAGCTTGGCAGGGGAAACTGATCCTGATTGCTGAGAGGAGGTTTGGCCACTGTTCTATGAAAGGATCAGGAAGTAATATATTTGGCATTCTGGTATCTTGGTCCTCCATTATCTTATTTGACAGTAAATGGGCAAGTGCAGCAGCCACAACCTAAGGAAGGCATGGTGACCAGAAGATTGGATCCTCAGGGTGAGGATCTGGGTCATGGCCCCAACTAAGCCACTGAGACCAGCAAAGGTGCTCACTGAGGTAAAGGCATCTAGAATGAACAGTAGGGGAGCATGGTGATCAACATCACACCAGCTTCAATAGCAAGAGCTGTAGTGGATGTATCCCAGTAACTTCCATCTTTTAAGTTTCCCTGGAAAAAAGAACCATCAAGACCCTGGAGGAACTGAGGTTAGACCTTATACAAGGCAGTGGATTCAAGAAGCACAGGGGTGACTTTTATTCAACATAGTATGGGAAGTCCTAGCCACAGCAATCAGACAACATAAAGAAATAAAAGGCATCCAGACTGGCAAGGAACAAGTTAAACTGTCACTGTTTGCAGATGACATGATATTGTACATTAAAAACCCTAAAGAATCCACTCCAAAACTACTAGAACTAATATCTGAATTCAGCAAAGTTGCAGGATACAAAATTAATACACAGAAATCTGTTGCGTTCCTATATACTAATGAAGAACTAGCAGAAAGAGAAATCAGGAAAACAATTCCATTCACAATTGCATCTAAAAGAATAAAACACCTAGAAATAAATCTAACCATGGAAGTGAAAGACCTATACCCTGAAAACTACAAGACACTCTTGATACAAATTAAAGAAGACACCAATAAATGGAAATACATTCGATGCTCATGGGTAGGAAGAATTAATATTGTCAAAATAGCCATCATGCCTAAAACAATCTACAGATTCAATGCAATCCCTACCAAATACCAATATATTCTTCAACAAACTAGAACAAATAGTTCTAAAATTCATATGGAACCACAAAAGACCCTGAATGGCCAAAACAATCCTTACAAGGAAGAATAAAGCGGGTGGGGATTATGTTACCCAACTTCAAGCTCTACTACAAAACACAGTAATCAAGACAATTTGGTACTGGCACAAGAACAGACACATAGATCAATGGAATAGACTAGAGAGTCCAGATATAAACCTATACATATATGGCCAATTCATATATGATAAAGGAGCCATGGATATACAATGCAGAAATGACATCCTCTTCAACAACTAGTGTTGGCAAAACTGGACAGCTACATGTAAGAGAATGAAACTGGATTACTGTGTAACTCCATATGCACAAGTAAACTCTAAATGGATTGAAGACCTGAATGTAAGTCATGAAACCATAAAACTTATAGAAAACAACATAGGCAAAACTCTCTTGAATAGAAACATGAGCAATATTATCATGAACATATCTCCTTGGGCAAGGGAAACAAAAGCAAAAATGAACAAATGGGATTACATCAAACTAAAAAGCTTCTGTAGAGCAAAGGACACCATCAGTAGAACAAAAAGGCAGCCTACAGTATGGAAGAGTATATTCGTAAGTGACATATCCGATAAAGGGTTAACATCCAAAATATATGAAGAGCTCACGCACCTCAACACCAAAAAAACAAATAACCTGATTAAAAAATGGGCAGAGGATCTGAACAGACACTTTTACAAAGAAGAAATTCAGATGGCCAACAGGCACATGAAAAGATGCTCCACATCACTAATCACCATGGAAATGCAAATTAAAATCACAGTGAGGTATCACCTCACACCAGTTAGGATGGCCTACATCAAAAAGACAAACAACAACAAATGCTCGCAAGGATGCGGAGAAAAGGGAACCTTCCTACACTGCTGGTGGGAATGGAAACTAGTTCAACCATTGTGGAAAGCAATATGGAGGTTCCTCAAAAAACTAAAAGTAGAAAAACCATTTAACCCAGGAATTACACTTCTAGGAATTTACCCAAAGGAAACAAGTTCTCAGTCTCAAAAAGACATATGCACCCCTATGTTTATCGCAGCACTATTTACAATAGCCAAGAAATGGAAGCAACCTAAGTGTCCATCAGTAGCTGAATGGATAAAGAAGATGTGGTACATATACACAATGGAATACTATTCAGCCATGAGAAGAAAACAAATCCTACCATTTGCAACAACATGGATGGAGCTAGAGAGTATTATGCTCAGTGAAATAAGCCAGGCAGAGAAAGACAAGTATCAAGTGATTTCACTCACTTGTGGAATATTAACAACAAAGCAAAACTGAAAGAACAGAACAGCAGCAGACTCACAGAACCTAAGAATGGACTAGCAGTTACCAAAGGGAAAGGGACTGGGGAGGGTGGGTGGGAAGGGAGGGAAAAGGGGCCTAAGGGGTATTATAATTAGCACACATTATATAGGCGGGGGCACAGGAAAGGCAGTATAGCACAGAGAAGTCAAATAGTGACTCTATAGCATCTTACTATGCTGATGGGCTGTGACTGTAATGGGGTATGTGGTGGGGACTTGATAATAGGGGGGAATGTAGCAACCACAATGTTGCTTATGTGAAAGCTTCATAAAATTGTGTATTAATAATACCTTAATGATAATAGGGGGAAAAAAAGCAGCAGCACAGGGGTGGACTGCAGTGGACACTGCGATGTGCTGCTCAGATACCCCCCCAGCCCCTACAGGGACTATCGTGGCCAAAGAGAGGTGCCTTGCTCAAGACCACACTCACTTCCAGAGAAGTTGGAATCTAATGCCTAATTGTGAGTGTGTAAAGGCCTGGCACCCTCACCCAACCTGGGACAACTCAGCTACAGAGCAACCTGTATGACCACCTGAGGCTTCAGTGAGACTGCATCGCAGTTCAGCTCCTTCCGCCCGAACCTGATTCCTTCCCCTCCAGAACACTGATCCCAAGAGCACCCTGATAAACTGCCTGCACTCCCGTCTCCTTCTCAGGGTCCGTGTCACAGGGCACCCAGCCTGGGATAAGACAGACCTGGCTTTCATTTTCTCATACACGTAACACCAATGAAATATTCATTATTTCCCCACATGATCTCTCTCAAGAAACTACAGAAAAGCGTGTTCCACCAAATCACGGAAGCAAATCAGGAAAGAGATCTGAGATCCAGGAAGCGAGGGATCAAGCGAAGGGAAGAGGTGAAAGGAAGCTGCAGATGGCATCTGTCAGGTGGGCGTGCAGGGTGGCTGGTTCAGCCTGGAGGTGGGGGGGGTGGTGGACATATCCAGGAGGGTGTCCCCAGGAAAGAAGGAAAAGGAACCCATCACCTGACATGTATGAATATATTTAGAACATACTGGGCTGTCGCAAGGCCCGTGGTGGGGTTTGGAGCTCAGCTCCCTGGGAAACTAAGCAAATGAATAGATGACCAGATGGGACAATTATTAACATCTGAGAAACCAAAACATTTCACAAGAAAGAAAATAGGCTGTGAGCTCACTGCTTGGCTGGGCTGTGAACAGTATTTACCTGGTTCTCAGAGTGCAAATACTGACTATTGATTTAACAAAAAAAAAAAAAAATGAAGCTATTAGGAAAATAGGAAAAGAGGCAAGCTTGTATGCATGGAGGGTGATGTAAGAGAGCTAAATCCTCACTTTCTTCAGTAGGAGGCCAAAGGGTTATATCTAAAATTGGTGGGGGGAGGGGGGGAGAAATAGGACAGACACGTTATTCTGACATACGGAAATAATACTACGAGAAGAACTAGAAGAGCTGGACATTGCTGCTCTGGCAAGCGGAAATCTGAGTAGGGAGAAGAGGAGCAAAGGATGGCTGCCTCTTTTTTGATGTAAGTTGTGTAGAATTACTTGGTTTCTTTAGAACTATGAACATGTGTTATTTTAAAATAATGAATATTAGTTTTTTAAAAGTAAGGGAGGCCCATCAATAATTGATGGATTCATTGATTGATTGTCTGACTTGTCTAATATAAGCCAATGGGTTATTTGATCTTCAATAGCAAAGGCCGGGTGTGAGGAGTGGATCTGAGCTATTAAATAAGCTCACGGCGTGTCCCATCATACAGTCCCCACCCGCCCCCACCCAGCTGAGAATTAGGAAGCAAGCCACAGTTGGGGCCCAAAAATGCTGCACCAAAGTGCTGGCACTTCATTTCTTTATTTAGAAAAGTCCTGAATTCAGTCCCTTCATTCAGAAACTATTCTCTCTCTTTATAAAATTTTATTATGCAAATGTTCAAACATGCACTGACGTGGAAAGAGCTACCATTTTCCTATTTGCCATCTTCAACAATTAACGACATTTAACCCATTTGATTTGCTTGGCCCCCTAGTGCACCCACAACCTGCCCCATTCATTTGACGGGGAATGTTTTAAAGCAAACCCCAGCACTGTGGTATTTTACCCATAAATAGCCTAGTATGCCTCTCCAACTGACAGGAAATTTTACTGTTTTTACAGAATGACCCTGCCATGATCACACCTAATAAAATTAATAATAATTCCTTAATATTATCTAATTCTCTGGCTATAATTAAGTGTTGCTGATTATCTCAAAGGCATGATTTTGCAGTTACGTTTGAGTCAGGTTTCAAATAAGGTCCACATGTTACATGTGGTGGCTATGCCTCTGAATTCTCATTTATTTCATTTATTCTCTGACAACCCTCTCTATTTAGTCATATCACTGATTGGAAGGTTGTTTATCCTGTGGAACCCTATGCCTCTGGATCTGGCTATTGTTTCTTTGTGCCATTTAACTTGTTCCTCTACTGCTTGCGTTTCCTATAAAGTCCTTGTCAGGTCTGTTTAAAGAGATTCAGGATCAATTTTTGGACAGGAACATTTGCTAAGCAATACCACAGGCTTCCTGCCGTACTATATCATAACGCCCGTAATTCTGGTTGCCCCCCTTTCAGCCCTGCCAATGCTGGTTATCAGATCCATGTAGTGTCAGCCCAATCTCTCCAGCATGAAGTTCTCCACCAACTTTTCACCTAAAGATTTTAATATCTGCAATGTACGGTTGTCAAAGATCACCACCAGCAATTCCTCCCACCTCTGGCCCCAGAACTGTGGGACTGATGTCTAACTGACTCAGAATCACCATGGAAGAGAGCCTGCTCAGCCCTTCCCGTTCCTCCCTCTTGTGACCAGAGGTGCCCACTGCAGTCTCACCATTGTGTGCTGGGTGTTTCTTGTTTTCTTAGTTTATAGGTCTCAGATGAATAGGACCACATCTGAGGACCTGATTTGCTGCAAGATCCTGCCTGGACTTTGAGCTGATGCCCAAGTGGAGATATTTGGGGGAGAGTTAAGTGTATTTTGCATATGGAAGGGATGTGAACTACAGTGGCTAGGAGACAGACAGTGGTATAAATTGTTCCCAAATATGGCGATAGCTCCCACCAGAGCTGGATTCTTTTTCCCTTCCCACTGAATCTGAAATGACTTTGTGATGTGCTTCAACCAACAGAAGGTGGCAGAGGTGACACTGTCTTTTCTGGGTGAAGTACTTAAGAGACCTACCAGCTTTGACAGCTTCAACCTCCACCCTTGAAGGCAACCACCCTCTGAGGAAGCTCAGGACAGACTATGACCACACAAATGAGACCCCAGGCTCCCTGGTGACAGTCAGAACCGTGACCCCCAATGTGAGTGGGTCCATCTTGGACATTGCAGCCCTGGCTGAGCTCCCAAAAGAATGTAGCCACCTGAGTGACTCCAACTGCCCTACAAGATGGTGCTTAGCCATGCCTCAACAGACAGCTGAGAGAGAGAGAGAGAGACAGCAACAAAAAAGACAGACAGAGAGACACCAACCCACCAATGACTGTTTCCTGGACTCACTAGGGGTTGCAAAATACGATTTTTCTAATTTCTTCTTCATTGATTAGCTGGAAATCTACTTTAAAAAAGGAAAACTCCCCCCTCACCACCACCCCAACAACTGTTTGCCCTGAAAAAGTAAATATGAGAAAGGGGGAACAAACCCTTAAGGCTTCCCTTTACTTTTGAATTTTCATAGCATCCTGTAATTCAAACTCACCATTGAGGTTTGGAGATTTTTTTACTTTTTTGCTTTTGTGTTTTTAGTATCATTATGAGCCCTGGATATTTATATTTTGATGTATTTTAATCCTTTGCAGTTATCGTTGTTGGTATGCAGAATGCCCACTCCCCAGCCCGTAGCAGCCTCCTCAGGGTGGATCTGCGTCCTTGTGACATGACCCCATTAGTCTTGGGAGTGTCCTCGCTTTCTGGCATGACAGCTGCCCTAGGATCACCATATGCATTTCCTGCCCCAGACCTGGAGTCAATCATTTCTCCAAGGAATCCTAGTTCCTTTAGTGGGAAGTAGAAGCTATTTATTCCTAATTTACATTCAATTCCAACAAACTTAGAAATTAAATTTCCTATCCCTAGATGCTTAGAAATACCACATTAGAAATGGGCTGCAATAGACACACACTCACAGCTGTGAGAGCGACAGTGAGTAGCCCTTTAATAAGAGAGAAAACTGGAAAAAGATTATGAAAAGCAGACATAAGAACTCAAAGATTTTAGCAACCGGACCCAAATCCAAACTTGCATTCTTCAAGAAGAGAACTTTGATGTTCTCATTTGATATTAATCTCCTCTTCTGGCCTTTCCTTTTATTTACACTATTATAATATTTATCAACTGGTTGTTTCTGTCTGTCTGGATCAGTACTCCAGATGCTCATTAGAATCATCTGAACTGGTTATTAAAACAATAAAATGAAAATTAGGACTCTCTTTCTAAACTGAGATATAATTGACAATAACATTGTATTCATTTTAGGTATACGACATAATTTTTTGATATATGCATACATTGCAAAATGATTTACCAGGATAAATTTGCATCACCACACATAGCTACCAATTTTTTTCTTGGGATGAGAACTTTTAAGATCTACTCTTTTAACAACTTTCAAATATACAATATAGCATTAACTATGCCATGCTGTATATTATATCCTCAGGATTTTTATCTTATAACTGGAAGTTTGTACCTTTTGACCCCCTTCACCCCTCTTGCTCACCCCATATACCCCACGTCCGGCTACTGCCAATCTGTTCTCTTGTGTCTGTGAGTTGAGAGTTTTTTCAGATTACACATATAAGTGAAATCATATAGCAAAAAATAAGCAAAACTGAAATAAAATAAAATGATGCCTGGGACCTACTTCCACAGAATCATATTCAGCAGGGGCTGATGGGTCCTAGACATCTATATATTTTTGAAACTTGCCAGATGATTCTAATAGATAGGCAGGGTTGAGAATCACTAGTCTAGCCTGTGACCCTGGAAGAATGGAGACTCACTAACCAGGTCTTGTATCTCACACAGCTGTATTACCAGGAACTGCCGTTCAGTAAATGCTTACTGCTTTGAAATGGGATTGAAGTGACCAGGAACCCTGAATCAAGTCCACTTTCAGGACAACAAACTGGGTAAAGTGTTTCACCCCAACCCTTCAAAGGTCTGGACTCAGAGCCAACTGGGAAACTTGACTGATCAGGACAACATACTTCAGAGGTGTTCAGAGAGCTCAGGTACTTATTTATTTGGGAAAAAAAGTTATTATATTGCAGAAGCTTTTATTCCAAAACATTAAATCTCCAGTTAGAAGTGTGGATTAGAAAGATCCTACAGATGCAGAGTTGAAATCCACATGTAGACAGTCTTCATATGGGAAGCATGGTGATGTTGCTTGGAGACAAAGCTATTGTGATTATGGCCAATGGCCCACAGAAGGTTTTCTGAACAATGCCAGTGACCAGCCTGGTGGCATATAATCCCAAACTGTCTTACATTGCTTCCTAACTGCCTCTTGTATGTATGTGGTTCATTGGAAGTCCTGGTGGGAAGGAAATAAAGGTATCTTATGTAACATACTATTTTATATTTCTTCAGCAATTAGCAGTGAGTTAGACATAACACATACTCCATACATAGGTGCTAAATCCTTTAGAAAGGAATGATGCATGTGTTTACCTCCTGCCCCTTGTTTGAGTATTGTGTCTAACCAGAGTTAGGGCCACATATTTTTACTATCCTCATTAACATGATAGAGCCACAAAGGCATTGAAAATATGATCCTTTCTATTTTAGGAGAAATAAAGGACTACAATTTTCTCTAAAAATAACCTAGATTGGAATTTTCTTCCACCCATGAGAGCACTATGTTTATGAATACACAGTTCAAGACCTGTGTCAACAACATTCTAAAACAATGCTTCGCTTTGACAATCACACATAATAAGCATTTGGTCTCTTAAGTTTTCATTAGTTGGGGCATGTTTTTTTTTATATCCTAACAAAGCTAGGATCTTTTTTTTTTTTTAGCCCACAGAACACAGCCCATCTGGTCAATACAGCCCTATACTGGGGTACCTAAAAAGCGACAAAAGTAAAATATGGATATTAGTGCCCCACCCCCTGGAACTTGTCCAGGCCAAGATGATCAAAGACTCCAGCACCAGCTCCATGCAGATCACGCCTGGTCCTGGGAAAAGTCCCATTTTTAATCCCAGTATCTATTTCCAATCTCTAGAAGGAGAAAAGTTTAGGGTAAACTCTAGAGCCAAAGTCAAGTCTTGAATTGAGATTAGGCATCCCTGATCCCTTAGGAGATATTTTCTTGAGCCAGTTTGGGTGTGGATCAAGAGTTTAACCACTGGAGTCCAAGTCCATTGCACAGAGTGAGCCACTTCTAGTGGAGAGTGAGGACATTATTTATGTGTTGTCTGTCCTTCCAGATTCTTCATGAAGGCAGGTATAGATTTGCGCATAACTCCCAGACACTCTCTTGAGATTAAATTCTTTAAAACTTCAGTGCTCCTCAAACAGGTGAGGAACCTGAGAGGTGCAGGAGCAGTTTTAGTGCCACATTAACTGGAGGGTGGGGCCCAGCGATATTATATATCCTGCAACGTATAGGACATCCCCCACACCAAAGAACAGTCTTGTTTAAATACCAGCAACACCTTTTCTGAGCTTAGCAATTAAGTCACTTAATTATCATGTTGGAAATTAAGACATTAAGGCTCATACTGCTCACTTGGCTCTTATTTACAGGTGGTTTGGGATCATCTGCATGCTTCATGATTGAACGCATCGACCAGATCTGTCTGGAAAAAGGAGAGAAAACATCTCTCCCCCAGGTAAAGAATCATCCACTGGCATGGGACATGCTCATCAGCATGTGCCTGAGGCCACAGGTTAGCATCTAGAGACATTTAGAGATTAGAACAATTAATTCCACCTTCTGCTCAGTCTATGGTCTGAATTTGAGGATGGAAATAGGAATTTCCTAGAAAATCAGCTTCAGCAAAACCATGCCATCAGAAGGGAAATTAGGCCAAAAGCAAGTTCAACACTAGGCAAATGTAATGGAGACAGTCTGGAAATTATCAGATGAATTAAATGACTGAAGACAATGACTACATGAAAGATGTTAAAGGAAGGAAGCTGGTCCAAATTCTCTGATATGTTGGGAGTTATAAATTGTTCTGCTTATGAGGCAGAAGTACTTGGTCCTCTTTCAGAGTTTGTATTTTTTGTACCTAAAAGTAAAAATGAACAACTATAAAATGGAATAGAATTGCTTTTAAGAAGACACAACCCAAAGTGGAAGTCTTGATCTTCAGTGCTTTTGAAAGACATACCTCTAGTGGGACCCTGAATTGTTTTCACCTGGCTAAAGAACAACTGCTAAGGCATATAGTCAGGGTAGCCTTTAAGTGGGAAATATAATCCAGAATCCCACATGAGTTCTGGGTTTTGATGGCAGTGCTCCAAATGTAAGCAGGTGAGGTACATTTGATTAAAATACTAGATGTCTAGGAATGTAATAAATGTAAACAAACACATCTTCATGTATCAATCAAATATTTGTGGAGTCCTACTATCTGTCAATAACATGTTGCCAATAGAGCTTGAGTTTCTTTTTTCTGGTTTGCATTCTGATTCCACAGAGCTGAACAAAAGGCCATGGAGCAGAGGGACACGTAGTGATAGAGCAGATACATAGACTAGCAGAAAGCAGGCTCATACTCCAGAAGGATGCTTACTGCAAGTCGCCCTTGGAAACGGTCTTCCCGTTTCCAGCAAAGGCAGGTGTTATGGGTGTGTCCACAGGAAAGGCGGTGGCATCACCTGTTTAAAGGATCTCTCCTGTTTCCTGGAGCCTGTGCTTTGAACAGCTTCTTGGTGCCCTGCAGGGTGTGCTGCAGCTCTTCCTGGTAGACCTACGAGATTCTGTGTTATAGAGACTCTCTGATTCTGTGTCTGTTACAAATATAGCTATTGAAATACTCTCCCAGGTATATTTGAGGACATGGAGGAATTTGGATAATACTTTTCAGAACCAGGATATAAACTGCAGGCCATGATACGATGGCCAGGATGGATGCTCTATGAGGCAGAATCTTACAGGCAGCTATGGCTGAAATGAATGGAGATCCAGTGTAGGGCACAATATAAGCCATCTTTGGAGTGTCTAACATTAGCAAATACTCCCGTGGGTCCAGGAAATAGTATGATGTCTTTGTGGATGTTTGTCAACAGAGTTCAGGAATCCACAATGAAGCTAACTCTCTGGGTTTTCCATTGTCCTAGGTAAAAATGTCATAGTACTGTAACAAAGAGCATCACCCCAGATGCAAGGATTCCAGAAATTTCTATAGACCATGATCAATATTTTGCAGAGTAGGGTCATAGCAGAAACGTAACCCTGAGATCTGGGTTCTCCTTTCCCTGGATATGTTAACTGGTTATTTTGGCAGAACAAGTCCTTGCTGAATGCTGGATCATTTGGGAGGTTATAGAATAGTCTCAGGACTTGAAATAGTGAGGTTAAATGACTAAAATTGGGAAGGTGGGGCAGGGAGGTTTAAAAATCTCTTGGATTGAAGAGGCCTCTGCCCCATCTACTCCCTCTTCAGAAAGGACAGAGAAAGGGAAATAATTTAATTCTACACGAGATACCATAGACTTCTACTTAATTACGAGGTATTTTTGACTAAAGACAAAATATGTCTCATGACAGGATGCAATTGCTTTCACTTTTACTAAGGCGATTTAAAAGCTAAAATATCCAAACAAGCAAAGAACAGGAAAGAAGATACAACAAAGCAGCTGAGTCCACTAGTTCAGCAGGGACATCTGGGGAGGCTTGGCTACCAGGGAGAGGTCATCTGGGCGGCAGAGGGCCCAACAGGTCTGGGAAGATCTTCCTTTAACACACACACACACACACACACACACACACACACACACACACACACAAGCCTTGCAGTTTGGAGGCCTCAAGACCCATATGAAGTGAAGTCATGATCTATCAGTCTAAAGATTTCATATCCACACTCCCTTCTAAGATTTATTTCAAGAACAACACAGGAACAGATATATGTGGTTGGCAAACCAACTCTGAACCAAGTTAGCCCCACAAATAATTTTTAAGTTGACTGGTCAGTTATGCTACATGGAGAATACACAATTCTCCATAGACTTAGAGGAAGAGACATCCATTACCTGATATTTTTCCAAGAGGAAGGAGACAAAGACAAAGACCCACAGGCTATGTCCTCACCTTCTGATGGGTACTTCTTCACCTGGTTTGCATTCAAATATGTCAAGGATTGGACTCCCCTCATCAACCATGAGCTCTAGTTTTCCTTGTTTGTCTTGGCTTCTTAGAAAAGGGTAGTCAAATTCCATGTTCATTGCATTCTGGATCTGCCCAAGTTTGGGTATCCACTGCCTAAAGGTTTTGATTTCTAAAAATGTCTCATATCCTACCAATAAATCTACCTTGGCCAAACCAGCTTCTCTGAGAGGCAGGCATAGGGGTACAGAGAAATTATTCTGGGGTGCTTTCATAAACTGTTGCACCACCACCATGATATTGAAGGCATCAATTTGATGATTTGGAAGAGCTGTATTGGAATAGGCTAAGACCAAGGTAGGGGCGAGCAGGTTCTTCAATTCCTATAGCTGATTTAAAGAGGTCTGCTATTGGGAGAAACTTTAAAGGAAAAAATGGGAAATGGATCATGCCGCTGATGCCTAAGGCACACTACACCACAACATTTTGGTCCACTTAGTTTCAGTACATCTGTGATGGACCATTCTGTGCATACTGCCAACATTCCACATCAAGTGGATTTCTCAAGGTTCCTTTGCTTTGCTGGCCTTGAGCTTTCTCTAAAACTGTGGAAATCTGCTCAGTTTCAGTTATTTGCAATCCTTATATAAACTGGAGCTGACTCCTGGGAGCAGCCCCAAAATAATAGGGATAGGGCCAGTGTATAAACATCACAGACTCCCCATCTTCTGGTGGAACAATTTTGAGTTGCATTCCACACAGTTCCTCAGAGGGTTCCCAGTGGGTTTGACCCTTCCTGTCTAACTCTCCCTTATCTCTGCTTCCAGAAATGACCTCCAAATAAATTATGTGCACCAAGCAAGTCCTTGTCTCAGGCTCTCCTTTCAGGGTCTCTCCTTAAGGGCATCTCCAAGAGTGTGGATACTTGTCCAGGTATCAGCTGAGATTCCTCCGGTTAGAAATGGCAGGAAACTCAACAGAACATGTATTTTGATAAATTGGAATGGCTCATTTACCTAAAAAGTCTAAGGACAAGATTGACTTCATGTGCTGGGATGTAGGGATTTAAATATAACATCAAGATACAATATCACTATCTCTTGGCTCAGTCTACTGTTTTCCATATATTGGCTTTAACCTCGAATCTGCTCTCCCTCCGTGTTATAAGGTTGTTGTAGTGGTTCCAGATTTTCTCTTCTGGAAGCTTCAGTTCCAGTTACAAGATACAATATCACTATCTCTTGGCTCAGTCTACTGTTTTCCATATATTGGCTTTAACCTCGAATCTGCTCTCCCTCCGTGTTATAAGGTTGTTGTAGTGGTTCCAGATTTTCTCTTCTGGAAGCTTCAGTTCCAGTTGGAAAGGGCAAGAGTATCTTTCCCAGAGATTTCCAGAGTCTAGACTATGTGCTTTTGGCTTCAACTGGTCATGTGCAGATAGGGAACTGGATGCTCCAAATGTACGTCTGGATATATAATCAAGAGAATGGAGAAGGGGTGACTTCCTAGAGGTAAATCAGACATGATTGTCAGAATAAAGGTAAATTGTTTCTGTCTGTCAAAATACAACTGAAATCCATTACAGTCCAAACCTCTGCCACACACACACACACACACACACACACACACACACACACACACACACACAGAGGCTTCCTTCCACATCTTGCATAGTTATTGCACCTACTTAAAATACCTTCACCACTTCTCCAAAAGATAACCCAAATCTAATGCAGCACCAAGACTAGGATCTCTAGAAAATGTTATGTCTCATAATCTGATTGTCTATAGCTAGATGATCATTTTAGCAACCCCAGATATGTTCAATATACAAAGGTGTAGAGAGAACAAAATAATTGCCATACAACCACCACTCAGGAAAGGCAAGAACTGGAAATAACTTAGTGTTCACCAATTCAAAGCACATATCATGTTCTGCTTTACAGCAATGACAAGGCTTACTTCCTGGAATTGAACTTTGATCATTGGTGAGCCAATCTAGATGGCCCTGGAAGCTCTCCCTCATCTGTTTTCTCCATGGCCTTCTTGGAAGATCTCCTTGTCTATTATCCTCCATAGTCACATCTGAGATAGTCTTAAGAGGCAATGCCTTACTTAAAGGCTATTCTCTATCAACTTACTGCTTAGTGACATGAATTTAGGTCTGGAGAGTGTCTTCAGAATTAAGCAACCACAAATTGTTTTTGGCCTAGGCTTGTATTTTTATTGTAAGTGCTCACAGAAGGCCACAAAAAGTAACGAGCATACTCCAATACCTGGAGTTCTTCCTACTGAGTCCCTGGTGCTACCCGTGTTAGTCCATGCTGTGAGTGCGTTTCCCTTATCACTTAACAAGTATTGTCAAGGTTACAACCTGGGATAGAAGATTCCTTGTGACTTCCACTTGACATTGACTTAGCCAATTCCCTATTACAGAATCTGCTACTTACTAATTCTTATTCCTAGTACTAATTTATCTATCACTCATTCATTCAACCAGTATCTCTTGAGTACCTATCATGTGCCAAACATTGTTCTCAGTTCTGTGGATATGGT